TTCCCCTGCTGTTCCTGCAGAGGGGTAATCAATGTGTGGGGAAGATGGGCTGAAAGGGAAGACAGAGTACTGCTCTTAGCACTTATGAGCCCAGATGGCTTCCTCCTAAAGATTTGTGGCCTTTGGGCTGGAGAGCTGACCTCCAGGAGAAGTCAAGAAGAGAAAGGAGAAGAGAGATTTACCTGCATGAGCGCTCTGCAACGGCTGCAACAGAATGCTTCCCACCTGGGCCCTGCAGCGGGTCTGTGCTGCTCATTTTGACAGGCTGGGCAGTTGCAGTCAAAGAAATACTGAGACCTCAGCTTCTTTTGCCTTTCAGCAACACCCATCCTGCTCTCGTGAGGCCCTGCCGAGAGATCACACTTGGCCAATATTTAAAGCAAGAGAGTTAAGCACTACTTAAAAAACTTCAGCTTAGCAGACGATCTGGCCAATTATTCCTCATGTGATAAGTACCCTTTATTCAAATATTTGTGGAACCAGGTGTAGAAATAAGCTTCCAAGTTGAGGGGACAGAAAGAAAAAGAATCCAAAAAGTTGCTCCCAGCCCATTTTCAGAATATGAAGCTAATGGGGATGAAGCCGTGACATACATGATAATTTAGACACAACGGGGCCCAGTAAGAAGGCCTTTTCTTTTTCTTTCTTCCTCTCTCTCTCTCTCCCCTCCCTCCCTCCCTCCCTTCCTCCCTCCCTTTCCTTTTTCTTTCTTTTTTGCCTAAGGATGCACTGCCTCTTCCAAGAAACAAACATTGGACAGGTGAAGGCACGTTCCCAGTGCTTTGCTCATTCTAGTTCACTCTGTCCTTTTCTGCTGGACTAGGGTAGACAGCAACGAGACAGGATGGCTCACCATAGCAGTGGAGAATCTCTTGCCCTTTTCCAATCTGCTCTGATGCCCGAACGGTAGCGACAGTGCTGATGAAGGACACGCTGGTATTGGGGCTGCAGGAATGGTTCAGGAGGCTGACAACAGGGAAGATGCCCGTGGCAAGGCGGACCTGCCTGCTGTTGGTAATGACGTTCTCTTTAGATTCTGGAGGTGCACGAGGAAAAAGGGAACATGGGTCAGGGCATTAGTCCTGCCCTCACCAGCCATTCCTCAGAAGATGAGCTGCACAGCTGGGCCTGACGCCCAGTTGAGTCATAGCTGCATAGCCGGATCCGATATGAATCACATTGAACATGGCTCACAGCAAACTCTGGTCCCCAGGAAGCAAAGCAAATGAACACACAAAAAGTCCACCCGAATCCTGGAACCTAACCACTGTGTCTCAATACCACAAAAAACCAAAGATTAGAACTTATAAAACATAATTAAAAAGGAATTACCAGTTGAGAGCTATCTAGGTAGACAGTTACATAATGTTCATAAGGACACAGGAACCAGGTTATTTCCCAAAGATTTTTTTTTTTTTAAAGTTGGGGAACAGTGTGTTTTTCCAGGACCCATCAGCTCCAAGTCAAGTAGTTGTTTCAATTTAGTTGTGGAGGGTGCAGCTCAGTGGCCCATGAGGGGGTCAAACAGGCAACCTTGGTGTTAATGAGCCCTGTGCTCTAATCAACTGAGCTAACTGGCTGCCCCTCCCAAAGACTTTTATAGTCTAAGTGCTTTTGTTGAACTGGTCTTTGGTTGGTTAACAGAACAAGTAACCTAATTACTACCCCAAACTAAACAAGCTTCTATTGTACAAAATCAGTGGTCCTTACACTTTCCTGCTCATTCTGTCCTTTGTCCCAACTTCATGGGAAGTCAGTCAGCAGTGGTTCTCATCGAAAAAAACTCTGGACTAGCTCTATTCAAGACAGTCTTACGTCCCAAACAATCTCTTCTTTGAAACACAATTAACCAGCAATTCAACTACATGATTGAAAATCAGGAAGGAAGGAAGGAAGGAAGGAAGGAAGGAAGGAAGGAAGGAAGGAAGGAAGGAAGGAAGGAAGGGAGGAAGCCTCTAAGCAGCGAGGCTATTTCTGCACCACAGCTCTTCATATGCGAGCTTTGTACCCTTGTGCAGGCCTACTTGCTCTTATTTTAGCCACAGTTCTAACCTGGGTATTCAGTTTCTCAGCCCACAGCAGCCCAGAAACAGAACTAATAAGAGGCAGGTTTTCTGACAACGGCCAAAGAGACAGGCGACAGACTGGAGAAGGAGGCAGAAAACTTATACAAGAATAACAGTTGCCTCAGGGCAAACAAAAACACTGTACCACTCAAGTTTTACTACAACTGCAACATTTCCTTTCACCAGAGGTTCCTACACTGACAGCACACCTGTATGGGCTTTTGTAATAGCCATATCTCAGCAGCATGCACAACATGGATAAGCTGGGGCATCCAGAAAGCCTTAAATTGTGTTCAGTGGCCTTGGTTTATATGAGGAAATTGTATTTCCAACAGAACTCGTTAAATAAGAAAGATATTGGTACTCAGAGGGAAACTTTCAGTTTTCTGGAAAACTGAAAAACCATCAGATAATTCTGGTATCACTGTATATGCCAGGAATCTCAATACGCCAATCTCCGAAGGAATAAAGCAGTCTAGGTACAAATGCAATGAATAGAGAAAATATCATGAACCATCATGTGAAAATGTTCTAGAAAGGAAAACATGAAATATAGGCATAATGTCTCTCTGCAGACCAATCTATTATCTGTTGCCATGGAGGACAAGAATAGGACAAATAAATAACATTCACAGAGCATCCAAATGACTCAATTTTAGTCAACAATTCTACAAATTGTATTGAAATCTTTCATCAGAGCTTCTCCTACGTGCTTAACAGATTTCAGTTTCCCCTCCTCCCACCCCGCTTTGCCCCTTCTGGTATACGTGCTAATGAGCAGTGAAAATGCTAAAAGGTAGGCAGCAGGAAGGAGTAGTACAGGGCACGAACAGTTTGTGGTCTGAATAATCAGCCTCTGCATAATTAAAAGTTGCCTTGCATTCCCAACCACTGATAACTGGCAATCTATATTAGAACAGCTGCTAAGATTTTCCCAGAAAAAATGATCACAATACAGTGAGTAATGTCAGCTTCGTGAATTATTTATAGGCTATCCTTTAACAGAAGTAGGGCCGGGAACTGAGTGTGGTGAGTATTTATGTCAGAGTTGAGTCTCTCTCTAATTATGTCAAAAAAATTAAGTATTGATTTAAAAAAAAAATTCAATATTTTGCATTAGTCATCTATTAGTAGAGATAATAGAACGTGAGACTAGGTATGTACCTTATCAACCAAATTTAACATGTGACATTTTGTGTGTAAAAAATAAGATGGAATGATGCTTTATTTTACCAAAAGTGTACCTCGCTAATAATATCCCTAGTGCATTTAAAATGGGATTCAAGAAAAGAGAAAAAGATTCATTCGCAATCCTTCCAGAATATACCTATTCTGGTAGATATTTTACAAAACAAGAAATCCGTGTGTATATTGAATAGTCAAGGACCCAAACTGCAGGTAGATTCCTTGGTTGTTGAAGAGTGAAAGCAAAGGGCAGTGAATTGATCTGAACCTACACAGAACCTCGCTGAGCCTTGTTACGACTTGAATCCAGATACAACATGTGCCATTCTCACTGAGACAGAACCACACATACCATGGTCTAGAACAGCGGTTCTCAACCTTCCTAATGCTGCGACCCCTTAATATAGTTCCTCATGCTGTGGTGACCCCCAACCATAAAATTATTTTCGTTGCTACTCTATAACTGTAATTTTGCTACTGTTATGAATCGTAATGTAAGTATCTTTTGGTTTTCCGATGGTCTTAGGCGACCCCTGTGAAAGGGTTATTGGACCCCCAAAGGGGTCACGACCCATAGGTTGAGAACCGCTGGTCTAGAATATCATCAGTGCCTAACTCTGTCCCTTAAGATAAGAACCAAAGAGAGGTTTCTGAGGCACTTTGATTAAATAGGATTTATTCAAAGATAATAACATACATTTTTAAAGTTTTTTTTTGTCAGTCTATCCTAGTTAGCACTTTAATCCTTCTTCTGCGCTACTAATGAAACAGCTGCTAATGAAATTCAATGAGAACACTAAATTGGGCGGTGTTGGAGCCCCAAAGAAATAATAAAAAGGGATATAACAAGATTAGAAATATGAGCAGACTAAAACAAAATTAGATTGAATTCAGAAATGAAAGTGAACATTGCTGGTGGGCATGTAACTGGTACTGCTTTCCTGGAGGGCAACTTTGCACTATGTATCAAGTGCCTTAAAAATGTTCATATAAAAAATGTTCGAATCATTTGAATTATTTTTATTAAAAAACTAATTAAAATTACAAAAGAATACATGATAATCAGGAAAATTTAAAACCTGAAAATTATACAGAAAATAATGGTCAAGTATAATCCTATCAGCCAGGTATAACATTTGGCTGCATTTTCTTGCAGTCTTCTTTCTAGCCTTATCTATGGCAATTTTAACATAATTGGCACCATAGTGCACACAGTGGTTTGTAAGTTACTTTTTTTTTTTTTAAGATTTTTATTGGGGAATTGGGGGGATGGGAACAGTGCTGGGGAATTGGGGGAAGGGGAACAGACAAGTTGCTGTTGTTTTGTTCTTCAATCTAGTTGTTGAGGACGTTGCTTCACTGGCCCAAGTTGGCACCATCATTGCGCTCTTCCTGGGTGAGGCAGATCAGTCGCCGGCTTCTGGACGGCTGCTGGCCACTCACTACATACGGTAGCCCATGGCAACCCACTGCAACAGGGACTGCAGCCTACGCCGTCACTGGCGACTCACGGCAGCCCAGCTCCAGGTTGAACTGTTGTTCAGCATCTTAGCTGTAGAGGGCAGTGTCACTGGCCCTTATATGTGGGATCCAAACCGGGGCCCTCTGGCATCCCAAGCGAGTTCTTAACTATCGCGCCACCCGGCCGGCCCCTGTAAGTTACTTCTTTTCACTTAACATGTCATGGCCATTTCTTTACAGCCTAACCTAAAATGCATACAATAATAATAATAATAACCAAAGCAACTTTGCCAATTTGATAGGCCAAAATGGTATCTTGTTTTAATTACTAGAAAGAGGTCAGACCAGACCCCGCTTATTACAACTTTGTTAAAATGTATATTTTTAATATATTTATTGAGATCTAATTTATTTAATATAAGATTCACCTATTGTAAGCGTACTAATTCAATAAGTTTTGGGTGGAAATATACATAAGGTGTGCAACCACTATCATAATCCAGTTTTAGAACATTTCCATCCCTATGCATATTTTAAAAAGTTGGATTTTAAGAGCTGTATAGTTGCTAGCAATGTTCTCTCATTTTGTCATTCATATTTCAATTTTTGGTTATGGGTTTTTGGAGGTGGGGTGTTAAAACAACAACTATTTCATTTGCTTACAATGCTGTGTGCCAGCAACTCATGCCTGAGCTTAGCTGAACGTTTTTTCTGCGGGTTTTGCCTGGGATTACTCATATGATTGCATTCATCTGGCACTTGGTCTGTTTCCCTCAAGGAGGCTAGCCAGGCTTGTTCACATAGCCACATCATCATTTTAAGAAGTTGACAACGGAAGCTGCAAGGTCTCTTAAGGTCTAGATTCAGAAGTCACATAAGGTCACTTCTACTGCATTCCATTGGTCAAAGCAAGTTGCAGGGTTGGCCCAGATTCGAGGGCAGGGGAAACAGACACCACCTCTTGGTGGGAGAAAAAGCAGTCAAGTTGCAAAGGGACAAACATACAGGGATGGGAGAAATTGTGGGGGTCATTTTTGCAAATAATCTTCTCCAGAAGCCTGTAGGTTCATCCAGTCCTCTCTGCATGAGAATACTGAGACGCACAGAGGCTGAGTAAACTGACCAAGTTCATACTGAGGGTTAGCAGTACATCTGCAACGGGAACTCAGGTCTGCTGCCTCCCAGTCCAGTGTTTCCATTCCTTCAAGGACCTTTTTCACACTCTCTATCTTCTTTACTGATTATAATGTTTTTTATGTTTGGTATTTAGGTTAAATCTAACTATCTTTTAATTTCCTAAATTTGGTATTATATATTTTAGAAAGCTTCTCTCCTTCTAAGAACACATAAATGTTCACTTACCTTTTCCTAGATATTTTATGGTTTAATTTTAAAATATCTAACTTTTTAATGATTCAAAGAAAGAATCTAATACTTTGGGGGGGGCTGTCATATCAGTGCCAAACTGTTTTTAATTATTGTAGCTCAGTAGTGTTATGAAATCTGATAGTAAGTACCAAGCCCCTTCAATACTCTTTAAAACAAAAAGGCTATTCTCATCCACTTATTCAAGATGAACTTTAGAATCATTGTCAAATTAAAAAAACAAAACCCTAACATCTAATTGTTTCTAATTGTGATTTTTGTCTGGAACTGCATTAGATTGATTAGGTTACTGTGGGGAAACTGCCATTTTTAGTTTTCAGTCTTTTCATCTAAGAATATGGCATGTCTCCACATTCATCCACGCCTCCTTTTACAGCCCTCCAAATCAAAATATCCTTGCATTTCTGGAAGAAACCCTACTTGGTCACATATTATTACTCCTTTAATAAACTGCTGGATGTGATGTGGTAGTGATTTATTCAGAATCTCTACATCTACAAGTAAGACTGGTCTATAGTTTTTATTGTTGGCTTTGCAGAACGAATGGGAAGGGGTTCTAGGTTCCCCATGCCCTGGCATAGTGTATATTGGATAAAATTTATCTGTTTCTTGAAAGATTTTTTTCTTCTTTATTTTTAAAAAATGTGGCTAAATATGTTCCTTACAAGTTTTAAAGAATTCACATGGAAAACAGTGGGTCTGGCTTGTTTTTATGTAAATATTTTGGTAACTTTTTCAATATCTTCCACAATTATTGGGTTTTTGAAATGTTTTCTCTTTCTGGGAAAATTTAGGCAATTGATATTTTTCTATGATGTTGTCTACTTAGTATTTTCAAATTTAATAGTTTAAAATTGTATTAAATATTTGCTTAATATTTAAAAGTGAATTTGGGGCTGGCCGAGTGGCTCAGTTGGATAAGAGTTGGGTTGGGAGCGTGAACTCTGAGCAGCAGGGCCACTGGTTCGGTTTCCACATTAGGGCCAGTGATGATGCGCCCTCTACAGCTAAGATGGTGAATGACAGCTCATCCTGGAGCTGGGCTGCCATGAGTGGTTGGCAGCCAGCGTGAGCTGGTGAGAGCTGCCGTGAGCCGCTGTGAGCCACCATGAGTGGCTGTTGGATGGCCAGCGACCAACTGCCTCAGCTGGAAAGAGCGTAATGATCATAATACCAACATGGGCCAGTGAAGCGGTGTCCTCCACAACTAGACTGAAGAACAAAAAGGACAGCAACTTGTCTGTTCCCCTTCCCCAGTTCCCCAACGATATTCCCCTTCCCCAGTTCCCCAACGCTATTCCCCTCCCCCAATTCCTCAATAAAATCTTTAATAAATAAATAAACAAAAATGAATTTATATTATTGGTTATATCCCCTTCATTGTTTCCAATTTGGGGGAGTTTTTTCCTAAATATATTTCTTAGTTAGATTTGTCAAATCTTTGTCTATATCAGTCTGTCAACTGTAGCCTGTGGGCCAAATCCTGCCTGCTGCTGCCTGTTTTTGTACAAATGTGGCCTAAGAATGTTTTTAAATTTTTAAGTGGTTGGAAAAAAAAAGAATTCTCATGACATGAAAAATTATGAGAAATTCAAATTTCAGGGTCCATAATAAAGTTTTATTGGAACACAGCCATGCTTGTTTGTTTGTGTATTGTCTATGGTTGCCTTCATGCTACCATAGCAGCTGAAATGCAAAAGAAACCACATGACCTGCCAAGCCCCAAATATTTACAGAATATTTTTTACAGAAAAAGTTTGCCATCCCTAGTCTATAGGACACAAGTCTTGATAAATATATCTACTGAATTCCCTAGTTTATTACATTATCTTGGTTTTTAGGTTCTTATTTTTTAATATAGTTGATCAAAGTCAGAGTGGTATATTAAAGTTTCTCACAACTATGGAGTTTTTGCCAGCTTCTTGTAAACTTAATCATTTTTGTTTTATAGACACAATCTGTATGTTTCTGAGAGCTGAGGTTGATGATATATTTCAGTGTGGAGAGTTTCTTTTATAAAAATGTCTTCCTTATTTTGCTAGATGTCTTCTTACCTTGGGTTAGTCTACTATTTCATATTGAAGGGGAGCAGTTTTGGCATTCCCAAAATATGACTTTTGGGATACTGACTATTTTAAACTGGTTATTTTTAAGACACAAAAGACCCAGAAAAAAATCTTTGACCTTCCCCTTGTCTAAAGGGAATTTAGAGAGAGGACCTGCTCTAGGAAGGAAGATATCACAGATAGCTATATAATGTAAACTAGTGTGTGACAGAGAGGAACCTAGCAAGGCCCATTTGTTCAAAGTCATTTCTGTGTCCCATTGTTAAAGATGCCCAGCAAATATTTATTTACCAACCATTTGCTTTTCCATCTGCCTTCCTGCCTTTCAAAGTCCCAAACCACAACCCCCTTCTCCTTAGCTCCAGAATGGCAAATAAGCCTGAACTGCCCAATGGGTCATACTCAGGTCTCATATTTTTATGGCACCTTCACTGTACATCTACAATAAATTTTAGACATTTTCTTCTGTTAATGTCTCTTGTTAACTTTATTAGTCTAGCCAAAAATTCACTCTTAACTTCTGAAAAATTTTACCCCAAATTTGCTATGAAGATAAAAATATTGAGTGTGATGAAATGTCACGTGCATAGAGCAAAAACATTTCCTTGGCTGTAAGGGGTAGGCCTATGGAGGAAAGTGGATGGAAAATACCTTCTTTTGTCCATATGGTTCTGCCATTCGGTCTCAGGGAGTCAGCCTGAGTTAGCGGTCCCCGGTACTGTTTACCTGGACAATAGTTTCCAGTTTTCAGAGCTCCTGGTATTTGTATCTTTTTTTGTATGTTCTATTAAGTAATTTCGAGACAAGACACAATAGAATCAAGAGTTGGTAACTTTCTGCCATTATCATCTGGAAGCCCATATACTATTTTTTATATTCAGAAAAGCAAAACAAAATGAAAACAATATTTTTTTAAATGCCAGTGAATGTACCCAAGGGGAAACATAATTCTGGAAAAACACTCAACAGATTTATTTTAGAAGATAGCAACAGCTCAAAGAAGCAAAAGAAAGCAGAGAAGAAAATAGAGACTAGCTTGCAATGTGCTTTTGTAGTACAATGGGACGAAGCCAGGGCTATTATTGGGCATTCCACATGCTTCAGGATGGGGATAAGGGTCTTGCCCAAAAACACCTCTAGTGAAATACATATATAGCACATAACTTGGCAGCTGAATTAAAATTAAAGATAAAAATCTATAAATAAGGGCCGGCAGAGTGGCTCAGTTGGTTAAGAGCTCGCTCAAGAGTTTGAGCTCTGAGCAACAGCGGTTCGAGTCCAGCCCGAGCTGAGTTGCCGCTGAGCTGCCAACAGGTGGCAGGATGGCTCAGCTAAAAAAAAAAAAAAATCTAATAAAAGGTTGACAAAATTCTACATTACTGAATATGAGAAGATCAAGAGCTAAATGTGTATAGTTTAGTTAAGCCACATTTAATATTCATCTGTTTATAAATCCTAGGTTTGGTTAATATCTAATTCCTCCCCTCAACAGTTTATTAGAAAATTGAGAAAAATATAATGAACTTATTGAATCAAAAGACATTATCAGCCAAAATGGAGATCAGACGATAGAAATATAGGAAACACAATTTCTTTTTCCATAATAGGTCTCTTGTCAGTACATTATATTAGATATGTCACTCATGATGCTGGGCACATCTAACCTCCCCTTAGATATAGGATCTGGTTCAGGAAAGCAGGGCTAGGCTGGTCTGTGTCTAGAGGTGGCCCCTAGATTGTAGGGCACCTGTCCAGTGGACAGCCCAAACATAGGCTGGCCAACAGCTATGGTAGTATTGTGTGAAAAGCTGTGCTCGGTCAGGTTCCTCTCTTGGAAATTTAAAACAGCAAAATGAGAAAAATTTGTCAATTGAAAAGAGAAGAGAAAGAGTACCTGAGTCACATGAGTGAGCTAAGATTCTGATACCTTAACTATAGACACTGTTCTTTCTGTAGTCTTTATTGTTTCAGTTTTGTTTCACAATAAAAAATTAAGAGGGTAGGGCCAGCTGAGTAGCTCAGTTGGTTAAGAGTGGGAGCTCTGAACAACAGAGTTGCCGGTTCAATTCCCACATGGGCCAGTGAGCTGTGCCCGAGCTGAGCTGCCGCTGAGCTGCCAACAGGCGGCAGGATGGCTCAGCTGATGAGAGCATGTGCTCCTAACAACAAGGTGAGATGGTGGGCTATGCCCACCCGCAACTAAGATTGAATACGGCACCTTGAGCTGAGCAGCTGTGAGCTGCCGACAGGTGGCCGGATGGCAACTGGACTTGGAGCTGGGCTAGCTGCGCCCTCCACAACTAAGACTGAAGGACAACAACTTGGCTGGTCCCCTTCCCTAACACTATTCTCCTTCCCCAATTCCCCAATAAAATCTTAAATTAAAAAAGAAAAAGAGGGTAATAAAAGTTTTTAGCTTTAAAGTATTTTTACAAACAAACACATCATCTTCAAAATGCTGTAAAATTATGTGGGATTAAACTACGCACTTTACAGATGAGAAAACTGAGGCAGAGTGGGGTGAAATAATTTGTTAAGCTCACAAAGCTTTTCAGTGGCACAATCATGATAATACATGACTGCTGTGTTTTCTCATGAGCCCATTCTATTGGCTTCCTCTATAGGTCTTTCTCCCCAAACATTGGCTACATCAAAACAATACTGTAAGGCAGAAAAACATTTCCCTCTTACCTGTTTGCTGTATGGTAGTTATTGCCTGAGCATTACACTGTAGCTGTAACATGTGTCTCAGCATGGCCACTCCCCAAATATGCAACTCTTGACACAACGCAGGAACCATTGCTGCTTTCGGCTGAGATGATTTCAAACCTGTTGTGAGGGTCTGTAAACTGGTTGTGTCCAGCTGCCTGCACAGCGCAGAAACACTTAGAGCACAGAGGAATTTGTGCTCTGGCTTCTGGTTTTCAGTATGAGGCAAAAGATTGAAGACAGCATTATAATTATTTCCATACTTCCCATTAATATCACATCCAGGAATTGGGGTCTCAAACCTTTTGCCATTTTTCTCACCCTCCCCTCCCAGGTCATCACTGGTTTGCACCAGAGTCTTGCTTTCAGGTAAACAGATGTCCTTGTTTCTAATCTCTCCACGAAGCTTCTTTATGACGTTGTCAACATCCTCAAATCTAGCTATAAGAGTTGACCTCAGGGCAACGTGGCAAAAGACCCCCAGTGTGAGAAGCAGCCCCCCTAGAGAACATTCTATGCTATGGTAGAGATCCCAGGCCTGCTGCAGACACTCTTGGCTGCAGTACTTGGCATAGCTGCATCCGTCACAGGGAACCGTGGCCAAAGTGTGCTTCAAACATCTGTGACAGTAGACATCCCCATTGGTAACTCTGGTATCCCATTTGCTCTCCAGGCCATGATGCAGTGGTGGCATTTCTCCCGGGTTAAGGACACTCACAAAAGCATCCTCCTTCACCAGGAGCTCTCCTGGGAGAATATCTTTTGTGGCAATCAGGTAGCGGCCCTTTAAAGGGTCTGTACATAACCTCACAGATGATGATGCACTGGAAATTTGTTCATTCTCTTCCCTTAGGTCCATATCCTCAAAGGCTTTGGTTAGAGCTGCTGGGAAGGTTTCTGTGATATTCTCCTTTTCTTGTACCTTCATTTTCAGATGACCGAGATTTCTCTGCAGAATCTGAAATTGGGAAGCTGTTAGGATTGGTTTGGCGGTGAGGTTACATTCGAGATCACTGATGGCCTGACTTGCCTCCTGTAGTCTCCCCAGTGTCACCAGACACTCTGCCTTACGCAGCATCATCTTGGGTTGCAATCTTTCTGGATACCCATGCGTCTGTGCTCTGATGATGTCTTTAAGACACGTCTGAAAACAGGAAGGAAATCCAAAATGATCCTTGGTCCTTACTCTTCAATATCTATGGAAAGTCTTAGCACAAATCTACAGGAATGTTAAGGATTATTAAAAGTGGAACAACTACAATCATGTGCTTATTTCCTAACACCATATTCTACCGTGTGATCTTTTAATTGAGTGATAAGAAATCCACACTAAAGAGATTATGTTTAACTATCTTATTACATATTTCTGGTTTTGAGGGAAAAAGTCTTATAGATGAAAGAATTATAGTGTGGTGGGCACTATGGTATGGAGGGCAGTCTTTGAAGCCAAACAGACCTGCATTCCAATACTGACTTTGCCTCTTAAGAGCTGTATGACCTTGTGCAAGCGACTTAATTTCCCAGTGTCTTAGTTTTCTCATCTGAAAACAGGGAAAATAATACCTCACAGGGTTGAAGTACAGATGAAAATAAGGTTATATGAGTGTATATCTAAAGTGCTGAAAAAAGTGCCTGGAACATTGTATGTGCTCAGTATATGATAATCACTATTATAAGAAGGGAAATAGAAATAACCAATATAGGGAAGTTATAAAGGGTTAAATGTTCTTCTGGCCACAAATTCTTCTACTTACTGTCTTCAGTAGTCCAGGACTTTTTTTTTTTTTTAAACTGGGGAATTGGGGGAGGGGACCAGTGTTGGGGAATTGGGGAGGGGGACCAGTCAAGTTGTTGTTCTTCAATCTTGGTTATGGAGGGCACCAGTTGCCATCTGGCTGCCCATTAGCAGCTCGTGGCCTCTAAGCTCAAGGTGCTGTGTTCAATCTTAGTTGCGGGTGGGCGTAGCCACCATCCCATGCAGGAGTTGAACCAGCAGCCATGTTGTTAAGAGTGCACGCTCTATTCACTGAGCCATCCGGGTGGCAGCTCAGCTCAAGGTGCCGAGTTCAGCCTTAATTGTGGGTGGGCATAGCCCACCATCGAACAGGCAGTCTTGTTGTTAGGAGAATGTGCTCTCACCAGCTGAGTCATCCTGCCACCTGTTGGCAGTTCAGTGGCATCTCAGCTCGGGCGCAGTGTCACACTGGCCCATGTGGGAATTGAACCGGCAGCCCTGTTGCTCAGAGCTCGAGCTCTTAAGCTCACTTTTAACCAACTGAGCCACTCAGCTGGCCCAGTCCAGGACTTTGTTGCTTGGGGCCTAGAGTTAGATTCTTGCGCTCCGTTTTTTAGTCCAAAGGACAATAAGGGTGAACTTGTGACTATTCAAATAGTTCTAAATTCTAGGGCATAATTTAAATTTCTGTGGAATTCTGAAATGGATGTACCAAAATGGCATTTTAGAGTTTGTCTTGAGGCCTCAATTAGGGGATGAGGAAAAAGCCACTCATCTAACAAGTAAATAGTTTGCAAACCCTTGGAACCTGAAGTATTATTAGCACCTTATCTCACAGCTGATCTCAACACTGAGAACTGCTGACCCATTGGATACAGTCCATTGCCCTGTGGAATGTACCATGGCTCTCTTGTTAACGAACACTACTCCCACATAATCACCTACGATAGGTGAAATGAATCAGGAGAAAGAACAAGTTTGGTAGGCTATCAATTTGCTTCCAATTCAGCCAACTGGCCCGATTTTAGTGTTCTAAGGTATAAGCAGAGATGAAGGTCTAGTCCTCCAGCGAACCCCATACAGATCCTCTCCAACACATCAGGCACCCTGATACTCACTTCATACTGACCCAGGTGGAAGAGGGCTGCAGAGCGATTGGCATAACACAGCGAAATGTCCTCAGTGTTAGGCCCTGAGTGCGATACTCCCTGTAAAACAATGAACCAAACAAAGGTCTAAATGGAAACTAGCATCTTCAAAGTATTTTTTTCAGATAACAAGGGCTCAACTACTAAAGACTGTATGAAATTGGGAATGTTACTGGGTCTCTGTGCTTCCCCTGCTTCAGCTTCATTTTTAACCACCTTAGAGCAAAGCTGTAAAGATCAAGTGATGAAATAAATATTCAAAGCACTTTGAAGACAGCAGCATCAGACAGGGCTTCAGCTACAAACACTACTAAAGGTGAATGAAAACCAAGAACATAATACTGTACATAACAAAGGGTGAGTGGCACAAAGAGAAATTCACAAAGGAAGAAACACTATGATATATAGGAAACAAATGGTTAATTCACATATAGATATCCACAAATATGAAAATGAATGCAGAAAAGGGCTACTTTTTTTTTCCATCACCAAATTGGCAAGAATTAATAATAATCATAAAGGTGGCATCTCAAATCACTGAAACACTCAAGAGTGCGAGCTCTGAGCAACAGTGGTTCGATGCCCGGCCCAAGCTGAGCTGCTACTGGGCTGCCAATAGGTGGCAGGATGGATCAGCTAAAAAACAAAAACAAAAACAAAAAATTAAATCACAGGAGCAAAGATGGGGATTATTTAATAAAAGTATTGGGACAAGTAGGTAAGCTAGTGAGAAAAAATAAAGTTGGCTGTCTATATATGATAAAACTTTCACTAGGATAAATTCCAAATGGATTGGAATCTTAACGTAAAAATGAAACTATAAGAGCACTAGAAGAAAATATAGGAATAGTCTAAAGTGATGTTGGAGTGAGGAATACCTTTTTAGTTATGATACAAAACTCAGAAGTCTATAAAAATTTAATAAATTTGACCACATAAAAATAAAAAATTTCTGTACAGCAAAAACCAATAAAAGCAACATCTAAAGGCAAACATTGAACTGTAAAAAATATTTGCAACTCATATTACAGGCAAAGGTCTCTTTTCTTTACTTTATGAACAGCTCCTACAGATCAAGAAGATGACAACCAAGAATTTCATAGGAAAAAAGCAAATGATATGAACAGTTCTAACAGGAAATATAAATGGCTCTTAAACATATGAAACAATGCTCAATGTCACTTATAATCAGCAAAATGCAAATTAAAACTCTACTGAGATACCATTTTTTATTTTTCAGTTTGGCAAAGAAAAATAAAATTGATAGAACACTGAGGTGACAAAAGAGTGGGATAATTAATATTCTCATATGTGTGTTGTTAGTGGGAGCGTAAATTGGTCTCATGATTATGGAGGGCAATTTAGCAATATATATATGTATAAATATTTAAGCACATATATATTTAAGTATGTTATATATTTATAACATATATATTAAGTATATTGTATACACACACACACACACACACACACACGTTGACCAGCAATTCCTCTTCTAGGAATTTATCCTACAGATATAATTATTTATCCTATAGGTATGTGCAAAACAACATACATGCAAAGTGTCTCATCACAAAATTGTTTGAAATAGCAAAAGAGAGAAAACAACTTAAATATTGGTCTAGAGGACTAACTAAATAAATTCCTATTATATCCATTTAACAGAATACCACGTAGCCATAAGAAAAGAATAAGGAAATAGCGAGTGGGTAAAAAATGAAATCAAAGAAGAAATCAAAAGCTATCTTAAGACAAACGAAAATGAAAACACTATACCCAAAAGCTATAGGATACAGTGAAAGCAGTCCTAAGAGGGAAATTCACAGCAATGCAGGCCTACCTAAAGAAAGAACAATCTCAAATCAACAGACTATCTTTACATCTAAGGGAACTGGAAAAAGAACAGCAACACAAGCCCAAAAGAAGTACAAGGAAGAAAATAATAAAGACCAGAGCAGAAATAAATGAAATAGAGACCAAACAAAAAACAATACAAAAGATCAATGAAACCAAGAGCTGGTTTTTTGAAAAGAGAAACAAAATTGAGAAACACTTAGCCAGACTCGCCAAGAAAAAGAGACAGAGAACCCAAATTAATAAAATCAGAAATGAAAGAGAAGTGACAACAGATACCACAGAAATACAGAAAATTGTAAGAAAATACTATGAGCAACTATATGCCAACAAATTCAACAATCTGGAAGAAATAAATAAATTTCCAGAAGCATATAATCTACCAAGTCTGAACCAAGAAGAAACAGAAACTCTGAACAGACTGATTACTACCAAAGAAATTGAATCAGTAAT